GCGGCTCAGGTCGAGACAGGAATTTTTTACTTGCAGAGTGGTGAACGCGTGGAATGCGTTAGATGACGAAGTAGTGGCTGCCCCTTCTGTGACTATCTTTAAGAAGAAATTAGATGCTTTCATGGACAGGCAAAAAGGTGGGGGGCAATGCTGACGTTAGGTACTAGACAGTAAGCAACTAGGATAGTCAAATAACAACAAAAAAAATACAAAAATATTTAGCTTTAAGAGGGTTAGGCCTACCCTAAAATTAAGGAACGCTCGACCTCGACACGTGATATCGAAATGGGCGAAATCGCCTCTTGATGTCACTAACTACCTTGAACCTTGAACCTTGAATAGGTACTCCGGAGATTTGTAAGGTTTCTTTATTTTATCTCCCTCCTATACGCTTTCACTTCTTTTTCCATGGAGTGCAGAGAGGATCAGGATTAGCTCCCCTCCTTAATCCACCCTCCTGAGCCACCCATCTTCACCCACCCTAAGTCTGTTCAGGCATTGAATTGACACGAGTCCATGTTCATAGCTGAACTAAGTCCTGCTTTCCTTTTTAATGAATGTAGGAAAATAATATTTATATTAATAGAAGTGCTTCCAATCGAGTGATGCTTTGCATTTTCCATCGTTTTATTCTCAGTAGAAACGAAAAATCAGTAATGTTACTTGAATAATTGGTGGCAATTCACACGTAAATATTAAAAACATGGATAATAATCAATCATATCCCTGCGTGAATGTGTCTCAATGTTGCCTAGTCTTTAATTTCTGATATATACACAGATTATAAATGAGTAATTATGAAACAACGGGTGGCTTTTTTCGTTTTTGTCAAATCTGGAGGTCTTTTTTCCGAACCCCCAGAAGTTGGAGAAATTTAACCCCCCTTGGGCGAAATCTTGGCTATGCCACTGTCCATGGCAAGAACCCGGCTAAATCTTTTGAAGATGCTTAGAGTTATTGTCCCTTCAAAATCGTTCTGATCCTATCTACAATGGGTGGTGGTTATTGGCTTTGACAAGATCCTAAATGAGGGAAGGAAGGGCTGTCTATAGTCCAGTAACAGGCTTGGCTTAGGCTTCTCCACTGCCTTCCTCCCATAGATTTGTGCAAGATTCAAGATAGTTAGTGATATCAAGAGGCGATTTCGCCAATTTCGATATCACGTGTCGAGGTCGAGCGTTCCTTAATTTTAGGGTAGGTCTAACCTTCTTAAAGCTATATATTTTTGTATTTTTGTTTTGTTTTGTTTTTTTTTTTTTTGTTATTTGACTATCCTAGTTGCTTACTGTCTAGTACCTAACGTCAACATTGCCCCCCACCTTTTTGCCTGTCCATAAAAGCATCTAGTTTCTTCTTAAAGATAGTCACAGAAGGGGCAACCACTACTTCGTCATCTAACGCATTCCACGCGTTCACCACTCTGCAAGTAAAGAATTCCTGTCTCGACCTGAG